CTTATATTTTGCCAAGCTGATGAATTTGACACAGTTGCACCCCTGCCTGCTAAGTATTTTGCTTTCATTGCTTGGTGTCTCCATTTGTCACCGTGAAACATTATTATTTTAAGGTAGCAGGGAAGCCGGATGACCGGCTATATAATGGTATGGTAGCTTTAGGAGCCAAGAAGGGATCAAAGAGATGGATGACTGGATAATGTAAAAGATCATACACATGAGAAAGAGAGAATGAAAAATAAAGAGAGAGGGAAAGAGAGGACAGCCAGAATTGTCACAAAAAAAAAGATTTGCAAGAATGATAATAAAGGCTGCTGTTGTGAGCCTGGGAGGATGGTCAGTTCTGATAGGCCATCCAAAGATTCTCATACAAGCCTGGCTTTCTTTGTCTGCATCATCTATGTCTCCAGTGAGGGGGGTGGGGCAGGAAGAAAGGGAAGGCTGGGAGGCAGTTACCTTGGAAGCATCCTGCCATATGCTGCCGCAAAACTCCATTCCTACAACCTGATGCACGTGCAACAGCTCATTTCAAGGAGGTGCCTGGGGCCAGTGCCCAACCTTGCTCTCCCCAGGTCCCAAAGCAAAAGCTAGTTTTGCCCAGTTTGTTGGCACCGATTGTCTCTGCCCAACGGCCCTGGTGAGTTTCCATGATGCCAAACCAATAGGGCACGGCTGTCAGACCATCAGAGATTATTAACTCTGATACACATTGTGTGTATCAGAAGGAGGAAGGAGGGGAATGGGGCTGGTGTCCTGTGTGTCCATAGGCATGGGTGAGTAGCATGGTATTCTAGAGCCATAAGACCTAGAGATCTTCTTCTAATCCAGCACCCTCAAATAACTTCACCCATCACTGTCACCTTTCTCCTCTGTAAATGGGGATAATAACATTTGCAATCCTGTTTCACAGGCTTATTTTGTAGTCACATAGTAATCATTTAATAAATGCCCATTAATTGATTTATAAATCTTAAAGCAACAGATACATGGGAGTTAACATTACTATCATTATTATTAACATCATTCCATTCTCAGGATCAAGACGTTGAAATTATCTATGATGCTTTCTCTCCCTTGTTCCCCATTGTCACCAGTTCTGTCCGCCCTACTTTCATAAAAATGGACATAAGTAGAATTGCCCCTTTATCTTGAATTCTTTCCCCAATGTCACTTCCAGAGTTCAGGTCTTCATTGCATCTCACCGAGACAGTTAGAATCACCTTCATAAATTTAATGTCTCTTTCCTCTACCCCCATCCCCACAATCTATTCTATACCCAACTGCCAGATTAATCTTTCTCAAATTATGTCACCTCTCCACTCAGAAAACTTCAGTGGCTCTCCATTGCCTATTCAATTAAGATCAATTCTGCATCCTGGCATTAAAGGCCTTCCATGACCTGTCCCTAGAATACCTTTCCAACTTTATCTCCAGGAATTCTCTCCCATGAACCATATGTCCCAACCAAACTGGACTTCTTCAAACACATTTCATACTTTTCCATCATGACATATTTGCTCTGAACCTTCTCTTCCCTTTCTGAAACCTAATTAAATTCTACCCATTCTTCAAAACCCAACTCATTTGAAGGCCCTCCATGAAGATTTTTTTCCTGATTTGCACCAGAAGAAATCACCTCTTTTTCCTCTGAACTCCTCTATGTCATGGCAAGAAAGCCCACTATTGGGGCAGCTGGGTGGCACAGTAGATAGAGTACTGGCCTTGGAGTCATGAGGACCTACGTTCAAATCGGGCCTCAGACATATAACACTCACTAGCTGTGTGACCCTGGGCAAGTCATGTAACCCCAGTTGCTTCACAAAAAAAAAAAAAGAAAAAAGAAAGAAAGAAAGAAAGCCCACTATTTGCAATTTAGAATGTCAATAGAAAGGCTTTATTACCAATATTAAGTTACAAAGTCTAAACAGAGAGAAGTGTTAGCTAACCCATAGAGATATTAGGGCAAAAGAACTTCTGAAGACAAACCATTTCCCAGAGGTGCTTAAAGCTTACAGAAAACATACAGTCATGCTGGATGCCTTGTTGTGGTGGTGGTGCTTCAGTTGTTTCAGTTATGTCTGACTCTTCATGAACCCATTTGGGGTTTTCTTGACAGAGAGTCCAGTTCACTTTGTAGATGAGGAAACTGAGGCAAACAGGGTTAAGGGACTTGACCAGGGTCACACAGCTGTCCGAGGCCAGATTTGAACTCAGAAGGTTGAGTCTTCCTGACTCCAAGCCAGCACTCTATCCACTGTACAAACTAGCTTCCACTGCTGGCTTTACAACTGGTCAACGGCTTGCTTTGGGGACATTTTATTGTGTTTTAGACAATAGAAAGAGACTTTCTAATCTGATAGTTTGCCATTGACCTGGGTATGAGAGGATCTGAGCCAGGATAGAAGTTGCTTGTCTTTGAACTGGGTTAAAGTAAGGGAATATTTAGGGGTTAGAAGTGATTAGTTATCTACTTTTAAGGTGGAGGCTTCATGTCAGTGTCCCCCTCTCTCTTCCATCACAAACAGGACTGTGCTTACTTCCATATTGGCAATTATCACATGATGCTTGGTGTTACAGCCCTCCATTTCCATCTCTTATCTCCCCTAGTCTCCCACTATGATACTATTCCAAAACCTCATCATGACATGGAGGTGACTCTGGGTTGTCAAAGGCTATGTCCAAAGACCAGAAATGCTGGCAGACTTTGTCAAACTTGAAAAGCTGCCATTTCTAGCTCATACATCTTCTGAGGACCAGCCTAGCTAAGTTTGGAGGTATGGAGCATCATCACGTTAGGCATAGAGTAATAAATTTCAGGGGGTCCCTGCAACTCTCAAAAACCATCTACTAAGTCACAGAAGGGTTATTATTTGTGTCTGTGGGAGAATAGCTCACCCCAACAAAATTACAGATCTTTGAAATAATGAAGTCTCTTCTCTGCTAAGTCTGCTAAGGGTAGGGACCATGTTTTATAAAACCATTTATACCTGATGATATCTAACACAGTGCCGTACACGTAATAGGATTCAATAAATATTTCTTACACAAATGAATATCATTAGAAAGAGGGATTGGAGTCTGGCCAGAAGCTTAGCCAGCTGTTATCATTCCCTATCTCCCCTCCTGGAAAAGTATGGTCTGCCATGTACGGCCCCTGGACCAAAGCCAAATGTACTATGGAAACAGCCAACCTTCTGGTTGGGTTGGCCACCTCCAAAAATACACAGCAGTCAGTCCATCATAAATAAATCAGTCCGACATTCAATTCCCCAACCAGCTGAGCTGGTATTGCAAGTGGATTTGTGCTGTAAGTGTTTCTCTTTTTGAAACAAACCCAGGTTTTAAAATAAATAACATCATTTGCACTGAATAGCCTAAACATTTCTCTCAAAAAGCACCCCATGAGGAAACCTTGTTACCTACTGCAGCCAAAAATCTACATGCCTACAAAGCATCCCAACTTCTGTTAGAGAACGCCAGGGACAGCTGGTGCCTCTGTGCTTCAGAGAAGAGACTTCAAATCTTTGAGGGGAAGGGGAGCTCAGTCACCACACAGTGACAAAACAAAGTCTCTCTTGAAATAAATGGCCAGAAATCTCAGCAAAATGTATTAACTACTCTTGAAAATAACCAAGAAGCTTATTTCTATTCAAGGGTAGTATAATGGAAAGAAAACTAGAGTTGTAATTAGATCCATATTTGGAGACAGTGTGGTACAATGGAGAGACCGTTGGCTCCTGAGTCAGAAAACCTGTGTTCAAATCCTACCTTTTATTCTTATTATCTGTGAGGCTTTAGGCAAGTTGCTTAACCTCAGTGGGCTTTAATTTCTTCATTTGTAAAATTAAGAGGTTGGACTACATGCCTTCTGAGATCTCTTTCAGCTCGAGCTGCAGGCTCTTATTATCCTATGAATCATGACTCTGACACTACCTGTGTAACCTGAGAACTCACTTCACCTGTGTTCTGGTTTCGTCATCTTCAGGGAGGTTAATAAAACTCTCACTATTTCTCTGGGATTGCAGAATAGAAGACTCACGTAACTTATCTTGGCCTCAGTTCCTTTTTCTTTAAAATGAGGGGTCTGAACCAGATAACCCTAAATACATTCCAGCTTTAAAGCTATGATCTATGTCCAGAACCTAAAGGAATAGGAGGGAAAATCAAACCCCTCATTTAAAAAAAATCCAAACCCCACATTACTAATGATTATGATAAGAAAGGAAAAGGCACAGTGTCTAAGAAAAACTAGTGGAACAAAACCTCTTGAATGAATGGAGCTTTTTAAAGGACAGAAACAAAAGGTGGAAGGAGGGGCATAGAAACACTGAGAATAATTCAAAATTGAGGCATGAAAAGCCCCAGAATAAACTAAGGTGTAGGGGGCCACGGCCAGTCCTGACCTATGTCTTGCCACTGGAGGAGAGAGTGAGGCTGATGACTTTGCACAGCTCTGCCTCACTGAAATCCAATTCACCTGCAAGTCAAGACATCACTCTCCTGATGTCATTGGTCCTCTTTGAGAATGATGGACAGTAAAAAGTCCTGGAGCAGGTAAGACTTAGAAGGGTCTGATCCCCATCTAAAAATAGTTGAAGAGCTTCAGAGAATAGGTATGCTTATTGTACCTTGATCCAAAGTACAGAGCTAATATAGATGAATAGAAGTTATAAGACAGTAGGATTTGGTTCAGCCAAGAAAAATTTTGTCCCAAAATGGAACTCACTACTCAGCTGAGGTCGACGTCTGTTACTGGGCTTTAATTCCCATTATGTTTTGCCCAGGGTTCAGCTCTGGGGAAACCTGACTTCTCTCAGTAGGGACATCAATATTCCTCAGTACTCATTCATATTCATTGGGTTCATCATCCTTACCCTAGATTTCTGGAAGAACAAATTCACCCTGCACCTTAGTCTAGGGTCTAGGGTTTCCTCCCTCCAAAGGGGAAAGTAAAGAAAGAGCCTAATATATACATGACTTAGGTATAGAAGAAGTCCTTTTATTTCCACACAGAAATGAGGTCTCAGCACATATGACAGGTGATTAGAATCCAATTCATATAACATTCCTACTAGTATAATCAGTTGGGAGGTCAAAACTTAAGCCTTGGAATATAAATAGTGCTTGAAAAACTGCTAATTAGGCATTTTACATGTCATTGGCCAGTCAAACATCCAAATGCAACCTTCTGCTGGGTTCTCTCTGTGCTGGCTCCTCTTTCCCTTGTGACCTTTCTGCTGCTGCTCTTATTACTGTAACTACTTCCATAGTCTCTACCTTAATGCAGCCCATTCATGACGATGCTTGGGCACTCTCTCTTCTCTTCTGTGAGGGTGCTTGGAAGGGATGGAAGACTGCAGCTGCTTTTCAAGATCTCACCAAGTCTGCTAAAAAAAAAAATCACAAAGCAATACAGAGGAAAGAGACCCCATTCTAAGCACCATTTAGCCTACGCAGGATACATGTTCATGCCTTGGGACCAGCTGGGAGACTGGACATGACCACCCCTGCCCACCTGACTCTCTAGACAGCCCACACTAGTCCTCACACAGTGAAGCTGGTGGGAGAAAAACCCTGAGGGCTGTGATGCCCCTTTGGTATATCCAAGGGGATCTGACTCAGAAGCCAATTAAAAGATTTTCCCCTACACAATACAAACCCCTGAGTCATCATGGCTGACAGGAAGGAGTCAGAGCATATCTGCCTACTCTGAACAGGGGAGGAAGCAAATCCTAGATCCTGCAATCTAGAGGATTTCCTATATATAAATTAATGACTATATATGAGCTTGCTTTCAGCCTGGAGGAGTGTACCACACCCAAAGTTCTTGGGAATTATTAATGTATGTACATACACCTCTGAAACCTGAGAAAACTTGAGGTTTAAGCTTGGTATAGATTTTAGCAGGGGAAAAACCTTGTCCTTAAGATTTAGGGTTCCTCCAGAGCCCTGGATTCCAAAGAGACACTAAGCAAGACCTTCACAAGATCCTCCTTAGAGCAGATCAAAACACCTGGATTACCCTCCTATCTCTTGGCTCCCCCGTCCCCCAATCAGTTTACCTAATTAGTGATTTCCAGGATCTGAATTTGTCCCAGGCTTGAAGTGTTATCCTTAAGACAATAGTGAATTCTTGGAACTCCTAGCATTCTCAAGATGGCCCTAGAAACTTGAGAGGAGTAGTCCAAGGCTATGTCCTTTTCAAAAGGGGATTCTGAATATGTCAATATTTTCTAATTGCATCCGTGTCTGAATGAATAAGCAGTAGCACGTCACTACAAGTCATAATAACATAGAGATTATGGCACCTTAGAGATCAGAGGATCACAGGAACACATATTAAGAGAAGAGACCTTGGAAGCTATGCAGTGCAACTCACTTCAGAGAGTGAGTCTTAGTAAACTAAGACCAGTTAGGTGGCACCAGTGGATAGAGTGCTGGGCCCTCCATGGGCTGTGGCTAAGAAAGAAGTGGGCCCTTGTCTCTATGAAGGCTTCTAGGTTTGAAGTCATTTGGATCCTGGGCATCCAAATTTGACCTAAGTAAGGACTTCTCTAAGCAGCTTACCTAGTGCCCTTGGAGCTATGTTTAATTGCTGTGAAACTAAGCTGTTTGCAGCATCCTTGATTTTTTCCACAGAAGGTAGAACTGTTTAAGACTCTCAGTCTCCCCTGCCTGCTGCTAATCCTCAGGAAAGGTTGAACTGTCCTGCTTTCCCTGGTTACCTTACTTAGAAATTCAGCTAAAACCATTTAGCCCTTTAAGTTTTGTGCATTGTTTTCTTACTAACAGCCCTCTGACATAGGTAGTTCATAAGTTATGCCCATTTTATAGATAATGAAATTGAGGATTGACTTCTGGTCACATAGTATAGCATTAAGGTCCTTGTTTTAAAGAAGACATCTAGTCCAACTTCTACTTGTGTATACGGAAGCAGAGGTTCAGCAAGCCTAAGGGATTGTACAAAGTCAGATAGGTAGTAAGAAACAAAACCAAGATTTGAACCCAGACCCTCTAACTCCAAATCCAGAACTCTTTCCACTATGAGGATGCTGCCTTCCCACATTTCCTTCCCATATACCAAAGCTGAAGGTTCAAACTCAAGTCTCTTTGGGGGTTGAATCTCTGGCAGGCAGTTTAAACCCCAATGAATCTGGAGATCCTGGGAGTGAAGAGCACCCCAAGAAAAGAAAGTGAATTGAGAATCCCAAAGTCAGGAAGGAATTCATGATACGGAGGGAGGGTCTTAGAGCAGCAGTTCTTCATCTCAGAGCCACAAACTTGATGACTATTTCAATATCATTGATTTCCTTTGTAATCTTCTCTATCTTGTTTTGTGCATTTAAAGATATTATTCTGAGAAGGGGTCCCGTAGACTTCCCCAGACTGCCAAGGGGGTCCATGCCACAAACAAGGTTAAGAATCCTAGTATTCTAGAAAGTAATAATAGTAATCCTAAAGGGGGGAGGGGGTATAGATAGGGTGATTTCAGCTGAGGTAAGGAAAATCAGAGGAGGGCTTTGGGCTAAGGGCAGTTTTTAGCTGAAGAGTTCTTAGCTGACTCTTTTACAGTGACTCAGGACCTAGACCTGAGACAAGGGTCTCCACCAACACCATTCCTTGCTCTTTAAAAATGTGAAAGAGTACTAGCTCTGGAATCAAAGGGTCTGGGTTCAAATGCTGACTCTGAGACTTACTACCTTGGTGACCTTGAGCAAGCCAACTTAACATCCCTTCATGCCACTTCATCTGTAAAACAAGGGAGTTGGACTCGATGATCTCTGAGGCTCCTTCCAGCTCCAGTTTTCTGATCTTATAATCTTCTCCCCAGTTTTCAAAGACAGCTTTTCCGAAAGTTAGTAAAGATAGGCAAGAGAAGAACTTCTTAGCTCAGACAGGAATTCTGTGTATAATAATAACACCCCAAAACTCTAATCTGAGAAGAGAAATGATTTACGGAAAGATAACTTTAGAAAGAAAAAGTAAAGCATAAAACTGGGAGAGACGGTGTTAGATCCAAAGAAAGACTGGAAAAACACTCACCTAAAATGATGGCATTTCATAGCGGTGACACAACTGTGGGATGGCAGGAACCAACGTGGACACTGTGGCTTAACCTTTTCTGTCATCAGATGGCCCACAGCCCTTTCAGAATAATACTTGCTTCTACCTTTAGTAGGTTTGTCTAGGCTTTAATCAAAAGAGGGATGCTGGCTTATTGACCTCAGTGCTGAAAGGAGAAAAGGAAAGCCGGTTGGTGGCTTCCTAAGGATAGCTATCCTCCAGTTGATTGAACAGCTCTGTGGGAAGCCTCCAGCAACTTGAGAGATGCTGTGGATGGGAACTATGCAAACCTGACCCAGCTTCATTAGGACTTTTTGTGCCTCTTTGGATGTTTGTGGATATGACCCTAAATCAGATGAGGCTGACCAGGTTTTGGAGTTAATTTCAGCCAATGCCATTTTTAATGAATGGGTCAGGCTACCTGCTACCTCAGTGCCAGTGACCTTCATCCTTTTCATTCTTCCTTTAAGAATCATTGATAACCAATTCATGAGCAATCAGTAGTGGCTTTCAGTTACAGGAACACAGGAGAGTATGAGCTAACTGGTTATAGCCCAGTGGAGGACCTATGGGTCAGGATTTTGCCCATAGCATTTTGTGTCATCTAGAAGGTCACTTACCCTTTGAGGAGCTGTTTCCTTGTGGAATAGTTGACCTCAGAAAGTCCCTTCTGCCATCATGACTCTGTGTTTCTGGGAAATTATTCTATGCTTTGCAAAATCCATAGTGTCTTTACCAATGCTAAGTAGGAAATAGAGTACTAAAGATTCAATTAATTTCATTAGTTTCTTCAAAGTCATCACTAGGTATGTTGACGTTTAGGTCATTCAGTAATTCAATGGTCACTTGCCAATAAAAAGCAATATTAAGGTATAAAAAAATCACAAAATGCCATATACATATTTATACAAGAATCTTTTTCATACTATCTTTTAAGAACAGCAGGCAATAATAACAATAATCACACACATATATACATGTATGTATATATGTGTATGTGTGTAGATAGATAGATAGATAGATAGATAGATAGATAGATAGATAGATAGATAGATGTATACATAAAATACTTTAAGGGATAGACACTGCTTCCTTCACAACCACCTAGTGAATTAGATAAATCAGCATTTTATAGATAATGACACTTAGCCTCAGCGAGGTTACATACCTGGCCCATGGCTACACAGCTAGTATATGTTGGAGCTAAGATTCAAGCCAGGTTTCTGTTAGGCTGAGAACTTCACAGAAAGGCAGGCAGTGGGGAAGATTCATTATCCCCATAGCTGTGCCACTCTTAATGCTGCTGGTTGTCATTATGGTACAAAATCTGACCCCCTAAGAGTTTGTGATGGTCAATGTACAGCAATAGAGCAATGAAACATAATGAATGGAGTATAAGAAGTGTAGGCCACTTTGTGATGAAGCTTTTCTGGCCATGGCAAATTAGGAAACAGAGAAAAATTGTAAATGGCCTTCATCCCAATGCAATCCCCTTCCACTCATGCAGCAACAGTGGGAGGGCAGCAAGAAAGGCAAAAACTGTTACAGTAAAATGGTTTTTTCCATCAGGGATAGTGGACACCACAATTGGATCTTAACATCACACTCCCCAAGGTGCTTAAAAAGAAAATAGACATGGTACTAAAAAGAACAAAGGGAAAAAAGAACCAGATTGGATCCATTGTATATTTATGTATATTTGCACATGTGTAAGCCATATTGGAGGTGATACAGTTGTGGGGGCACGTACAGATTGGTTTTCAAGGATTCTAAAAGAAGCAAAGACACAAAAGTAAAAAAAAAACTTAGACTTTGCTGGTACAAAATAAAAAGTTACCAAGAAAACATCAGCAACTAGTAACCTGTATGTCTACTCGCCCATTCATATAAAATCTTTGAGGGTCATCTACGTATGAATTAAGGGAAACCAAAATGATGGTAGTAGTTAAGAACAAGCAGGCTTCCACAAATTACATTCAGTAATAAACCATACCTTTACAACCTAACAACTGAAAAGTGCAGAGGAAAAAAAATGAGCTGTTTGTGCTCTTTTTTTGCTCATTTTTTTGTTAATTATCCAAAAAAGCATCCAACCAAATTGAAAAATTTTCTACCTTCCAAGCTATTTTTACATCAAGGTACCTCCTATGCACATAATTATCATTAAGAGGTAACAAGAGTAATAATCCTGTTAAATGATCCTTTGATAAATATCAGACAAGGCATTATATCGGGAGATGTATGTTCACCAAAATAGATGGAGGAGCTCTGGCACAGAGTCCGGGTTGAAGAGGGACCCCTTTGGATGGGATACTTCTGTCTGTGGATGTTAGTGTGTTGTACTGTGTGATATTGGAAAACATCCTAGAAAAGATCTGTTATCATTCAAAGAGTATGGCTTGCTCATCCACTCAGGGAAAACTAAGTGGATGAAAATTTTCTATTGCCCTGATTTCAACATAAATCTGAATGAACTTTCCAACAGTATGCATATTTGGGACAAACAACAGAAAAGGGCTTAGAGATGAAAATAAGGAGGAGGGTGGGTTATATTGCTTTTGGTAAACTGTAAAACATTTTTACCAACTCCAAAATTCCTGTAGAAACAAAGGTCTGTCTTTTTAACACATCTTACTGGCATTTCTGTATGGCAACAAGACCAGAACACCACTGCCTCCAAAGGACTAAAGATGAGCATCATGAAGAGGGCAAGGAAAGGTACAGGGTGGTGTGAGCAGGCTATAACATATAATCGACAAGGAACTCCAACGCAAAATGAGCATAAAGATGTCATTAGGGAATTTTATGGCAGAAAGAAAAGATGGACCAGTCACATGGCAAGAGCAAGGGATGATAGGAGTTTGGCCAGAGTGCTCTACCAATACCCTTGCAGTGTTGAGAGAAAGACAGGCCTCTGGTACGTTAATGCCCCTCCTATGATTAGCTTTTGGTAGGACACAGATGAGGATTGTACAAGATGAACAGGCATGGATGTCTTACACTCTGCATTATTGGAGGGAACTCCTGAATCAATAAAATCACAGATCATCTTAATAAGACAGATACAAATTTATAATAGAAGAGCTAGAATAGCAACAAGAAAAAACACAAGTGGGAAGAAAAGTGAAAGTTGCAATGTAGAAGGACAATAGCTTCAGGAAAATAGAACAGAGTAGGAAAGATTGCATTATACTGTTCTTACTGAGTTAAACTCCTGGTTCCACAGAGAGAGAGAGAGGAGACTTCCAGAATAAAGGAGAGCTCAAAGAGAGAGGAAAGTGAGTGAGGGGAAAAGAAATGGAAGGAGGAAGGCAGACAGAGAGTGCAAATGATGATGGGAGAGTGAGAGCAAGCAAGAGGGAGAGGGGCGGAGGGGGGAAAGGAGAGGGGAGAGGAGGGGAAGATGGGGAGGGGAAAAGGGAGAGGGGGAGAGAAAGGAGAGAGATGAACAGACAGACAAAGGAAGAAAGTGTCAGCAAAGTACTTCCTCCAGGGAAATCACTCCCGCCTCTACATTTTATTTTTGTATTTTTTCCAAACTATAAAATACTTGGATATTACTGGCATTCCCTGTTTTCCCAGGGTAGAGATTAATAGAAGTGGGTTTTGTTCTATCCTATCTCTTTCTGTCTTGGCTTGACTTTGCAAACATTTCTTCATGATCCAGTTAACTAGCAACACAAAAGGCTGTTAAGGAGTAATTATATCTTTTCCTCAGGGAATAAAAGAACTTTGTGTAAGAGGACTTTTCACATTGTTGCCTGCCAGAGTCTGGTCTGTGAAGTATAGACTGACCTCACATGGATCTACTGAACTCACTTTCTCCTACTGCTTTGATAGTGGGTCATCTTGTCCCAGAATGGTCAGATTCTTCATGCCAGGGAAATAGTTTAATGGTCAAACTTGTCTCTGATCAACCAGGTAGTATCTGCCCCTCCCAAGGGAGGAAATAATGGAGTCTTCAGAGAAGTCTTGCTGCCATGATCAGGAAACCACTTCTTCAATCCTTACCATTGCTCCTCGAAATTCACCTGAAAATAGCTCATATGTGTCCCTTAGTGCCATTATTATGGGCTTTCAGTATGCCAAAAACCGTGGAAAGTGATTACTCCTTCTCAAACTGGGAAAATCTGGATGACCAAGATCTCTATAAATAAACCAGGAAATAATGAATTAGAACATAGAACTTTGACGGGGTTGGCTGATTAAACACAGACAAGGTAAATGGCTGACTTTGTCTCACCTTCCCAATTTTCTCCTTTAACAGGGAGGAAATGTAGCTCAGGCTTAAAATGTAAATAGCCCTGGATGAGGCAACATACTAAGGAGTAAATTCACAATAAAGAGTAAATGACTGATATAAGATCCTTCCTTAAGAGGAAGGAAGGGAGGAAAAGATCATAAGAGGACTGGTTGCCTAAAAGGTTAAGGTGGAAAAGAAGTTCCACTACAGGAAGAAAAGGAAAGAACAAGGAAGTTGGGAGTGTAAGAAAAGAATTTTACCTACCTCACCATTTTGCTTAGGGCCAGTCTTGTACTTTAAGTAAGTGTGTAATTGATTAGTGAGCTGTTCTCAAAAAGTATTAGTGTCAGTTGAATATCACCTGGGGAGATCTTTTGAGTGTTATTCTCTAGGGATTGGTCCTGGGACCAATTCTATTTAATATACCAATCAGTAATTTAGATAGTATAATAGAGAGTTCACATATTAAGTCTGCCATTGACACCAAGTAGGGTGGGATAGCTTGTCCCCCAGAGAAATAGAATAGAACTTTTTCTATCCCTGAGCAATGGGAGATGTAGGCAGATAAAATAGGATGAAGTTTAATGAGAAAGTGCAAAGCAACTCCTTCCAGCTATAAATCCTATTATCCTAATGCACTTAAAAGGATTCCTGACTTCCCTGACCCCTTCTCCTGCCTCCCTTCTCTGAAATCCTTTGGGATTCGCAGACTGAACTATACCACTAAGTGCAGTATTGCTAACATTGGATTGTTCCATAGTTGTTTCAGCCCCACTCCCTCAGAATTATATGTTCCAAGTCGGGGCAAAGGACAACAACATACAACATTCTGGAATACCCCCAACTCCTAAAACAAAACTAGGCACTCTGTTGACAATACATTGACTGAAAAATATATGTAGGAGCGACTCGATAACATGTCAAGTATAGTAGGCACAGCTACATTTTGCTAGAGTAGGCAATATAGTATTATTGTTTTTAAAAGTATGCATGGCCTTAGAATGCAGCACGTGGGGATCAGTGAGTTAACCCTCCACCATAATCAACATTAATAGAGCTAGTGGTCCATTTGGGACTGTTTCTATACACAAATTGCAGCAAAATACAGAAAACTCAGAGAGGTCCAGGGAGATTGGTGAACACAATTAAAGGGCTGGGAAATGAGCACTATGAAAAAAAGCTTTAAAAATCAGAATTATTGTGTCTACAGAGTAGCAAGCTAAAAGGAAGATTTAATATCCATCCAAGAATACTAAGAGAGGATGTAATGAGTTCATAAGCTGCTTTTCTTCCTTTCCACTAAGGAAAGGACAATTGGGAATAAGTTTAAATTGCACCAGGACTCACATAGGTTAGGTATTAGGAAGAACTTCCTGATACTGGAATTCATTGACAAGAGAGATATTTTATGTAAAGATTGACCAATTATGCTGGAAACTCACCATGACATTTTTCAGTCAATGCCATGAGAATTGAAGGGTCATAATCTGGCAAGATGCTCCTCAGCCCCTCCATCCACATTTGATGTTGTTGTTGTCTGTCCTTTGTTTTCAAAGAGGACCAATGGTATCATGAAGTGATATCTTGACTTGTAGGTGAATTGGATTTAAATGAGGCAGACTTGAACAAAGTTGTTGGTTTCACTCTCTCTTCCAGAGTCATGGAAGCCCAGCGGCAGGACAAAAGTCATGACGATTGGCAATGGCTTGGGATACAGTGGATGACCCTGGCATCTTCGATGTCTGGCCAAGCTCTAAGCGCTCCACAGCACCTGCTTCAGCGACCTTCAAGGCCATTGGAACAAACTGTTTCTCATCTGCCCATTCTGTGAGGGAAGTCTTCACGTGCTTGGGGTAAGCATCCCCCTAAATCACCAATGAGTTTGTGGCTTATCAGTTACCTTCAACCTGGCTTAGTCTATCTGCCAAGATGGTTTTACCAGGATGTGGCCACTGTGCATACTACAGTTTCTTGGAGCACAGATAAGAGTTGAGTGACAAGTGGCCACCAAAAGTGGATGAGCAGCCCTGAAAAGGGATCAGCAAGCCTTGCACCAGAGATGCTAGTGCTCCCCAAACACTGATCTCAATTCCATATCTGTATCTCTGCCCTGATTCTCACTTGGGCTCAAGTCCCCACATTTCCAGCTGCTTACTGAGTAGCTCCACCATTGTCTCAAACTCAACACTGCTAAATCTTGAATGTATCATTTTTCTCCCAAACCTACCCTTCTTAATTTCCCAGTTTCTATTGCTGGTACCACCATCCAAATAACCAGTCAGATAAACCCAGAATCATCTTGAATACTTCTTTGATATTCTTGATCCTATCAAATCTGCCTCTACAATCCTCTTTTATTGGTCCCATTTGTACAGCTATAATCACTCAAAGTACTGGGGCCCTGTTCTTATTGTACATCCTTTGTATGGATATAACATTGTATTGAATACCAATGAAGCATACAGGCTATCCATTGGTTTTTCCTTGTTCTTGATGCATAGAATCATAAAATAATAGGTTTAAAGATGAAAGAGACCTTAGAGGACATTTAATTCAACTCCCTCATTTTATAGATTAGGAAACTGAGGCCTTGAGATTTTCAGTAACTTACCCAAAAAATATGGGCATTAAGGGATGGATAGGATTTAAACCCAGATCATCTAACTCCAAAACCCATGATATTTCCATTCTATCATATATGAGCAGCCCATCTCCTTTTCAGTCATATTTTTCTGTGGTGATCTATCGTACACCTGTTCTCCCACACAATATTTCATTGTCAATATTCTTCAATCAACTCACATTTACCTACATTTAATAGGTAACCTGAAATCTTAATTCATTGGAGGCCATGGTAATCCATGACTTACAACCATATTAGAAGAATGGTGATGTTAAAAAGATGTACCTGAGTTTCAGGAATAAAATTGTGGTCATGAAGGAATGATACAATTTTCCAATGGCTATCCGGCCTGCTCTCCTACTCCTGTTTAATTCTGAACAGTTCTCAACGTTCTCACTATTTCAGTTATCATCTCTGTACCAAGGCCCCCAAATCTGTATCTCCAATCTTATCCTCTTTCTCTTTCTCCAATCCTATTACCTTCAGCTTCCTGTGAGATGCTTTCATTTAGATGACTCATAGTCAAATCCAACATACCTAAAACAAAATTTGTTCCTTGCTTAAGACCTTGAGTAACTCTGGTCTAGTGGAAGCCAGCTAGGCCCAAGACAAAGATCTGGTAAGTTGGAGGAAGGTGGTATGGATGCAATGTCAGAATACTAGACTTGAATTTAGAAGACCTATATTCAATTCCTTACTTTCTCATCTTCTAAATATTTGACCTTTAGCCTTACTCTTTTTGAGTGTTGGTTTCTTGACACATAAAATGAAAATAATGTTACCTCCCCTACCTAATTCAAGGGTTGATAGAGGGAAAGCATTTTGTGAAACATAAAGTAAGTCATTAACATAATTACTTCACAGAATGTATTTTAAGGAGCAAATAAGATAAAATGGGTAAAACACTCTATAAAACTTATAGCATTATGTAAATCTAAGTTATTATTATTATAAATCCCTTGTATAAAACCAAGTCAGATTCTAGCAGGCCAAAATAGAAAACAAAAGCAAGGTTTAGCATTCAAATATAAATTAGACACTGTTTTTTGAATGTCAAAGCTAGGCAGATGCATGGTCAAAGTATATAGGCTATGGGGCCACCATTCAGTAGTCTAAAACTAGATAAGTGGAATCATCCCGGAATGGAGTACAAGCATATATCCAAGTTTGGTGTTTAATATAGGTGTACACACACACACACACACACACACACACACCAATAGACAATTAAGTTTAGCCCACTCCAAGATCTAAAACAGGGAGTGAGAATCACTCTAGCCCTCACTGGTCCATCTTCTTTTTCTGTGAATGTCATTAAGTGCTTCTAGTCTGCACCACATGACATCACTTAACAAGGTACTGTCTAGGATTATTTGTTCTTGTTTTGTGGTTTTATTACTCATACTTCCCCTGGCAGATTGTATGCTCCTTAAGGACAGGGCTTATCTCTTGAATATCATTTATTCACACAAACATACACAGATGGATACATGGTAAATATTCCATCAATGTTTGGCTGATTCATCTGAATGGGCATCCAAACTTATCCCCTTGTTTCACAAGCCATTAGCTAATCACGGGGCATCATTTTCATTCTTCTTTTACAAATGAAAAAGTGAAACTGCAGGTAGTAATGAACAGAGAGTGGTCCCCAGGGTCAAGACCTAGGTTTAAGTACAGCATACTGGACTTCCAGTGTGACCCTGGGAAAATAACAACCTCTCAGAGCCCCAGTCAATTCTCTAAGTCTTCAAGTTTTGGAATAGATGCCAAGTTGCAGAAATACAGGAATCAGAAGTTCCTATACTGATGAATCACAGTTCTGGTACAAAATGGGAAAAATGAGGCACAAGGTAAGCTGTTAGCCAAAGTAGGAGCAGAATTTAAGGCTTCCAAATGATGAGCCCAATGCCATTTCTTCTAGTTATAATAGACATTAGTAACAACATGTTATTTTTACATATATATATATGTATATATATATATATATGTGTGTGTGTGTGTGTGTGTGTGTGTGTGTGTGTGTATACATATATATATATATAAATCTTCTCTGATAAAGTTTCTGTGCAGGAGCAGTTTAATTTTTGCCTTTGTATTCCCAGCCTACCATAGTGCCCACACAGAGCAGGTGCTTAATAAAGACTTGCTGATTGATCACTCAAAGTGTTCAAAGAAGGAGATTTTTTAAAAATATAGAATATATAGATCTTTCCACTATTCTCAGAATAGAATGTAAACCCTATGAGGGCAGGGACCATTTGGGAGTTTTTTGTCATTG